AACCGCGTCACTGAAAAGTTTGAGAAAATAATGTGCTTTGAATAAATAATTATTTTTGATAATTTATTTGATTTTACAGGGATAAAGCAGCGGAAATTTTTCTTTTAACACTACTTTATGCTTCAGGAAGTTTTCTGATTTGTGTTGCTGGTTTGTGCGGAATAAAAGTGGCGACTGTTAGTCGGGTGGTAAATAGTGTCCATTGCTGTAGAGGCACGTGTCCAATCATTCACCTGAATGCCGACAAAAAGCTAGGAAATTGAGAGCACAATGCGCACATTTTACTAAATACCGCAGTTTCTAAAGGTGTTGAGGTGTTTAAATTGCAAGAATGTCAGAATTCAATCACGTGTTACTTAGGAGTACCTTTTATACATGTAACATGCTACTTTAGGAACAAAAAGTCAACTGGCCTAATACTGTAGGATGTTCAGAAAGCATTTGATTCAGTCTGACACAATAGACTTATATACAAATTAATTAAATTTCAATTCCATTCCTACCTCGTCAGGATAATTCAAAGTTCCCTGACCAATCGATACTTTTGTGTGTGCTTGAACTTTGAATATTCCGACATTACCCAACTACCGGCTGGAGTACCTCAGAGATCAATGCTATACACACCCTTGTTAAACACACTTTGCTAATATACTAAACAGCTTTTCAAACTACATGAAAAAATGGAAAATAAAGCTAAACGACAATAAAACACAAGCCATCTTTTTCACTAGAAAAAGAAGTCCTTGTTATCTACCAAGCTTTATAATAGAGCTAGATAATTATGAAGTGCTGAGGTCTACCACTGTCAAGTACATCGGAGTAGTTTTTGATAAAAAAAAATTACATACGCTTAACACATAAATGTAGATCAATTTCAAATAGTCACTAGCAGGTTCAAGATTTGTTGGACTATGCCAGAAAACCCTTTAGTTTCTAATCTACACTAGGATTCTTAGTAAATATAACTTGTAAACTTGCCATTAGCTAAGTTTTTTATACACGTAAAATAGTATTTTCCTCTGAAACCTATCAGAAAATCTGTGATAATAAGAATAAACATAATATAAAATTAAGGTTACATACTATATTCTGTAAATTGTGCGACACTTAAGTTAAGATTGCTACTGATTTTTTTCTACTTAATAAATTAAACAATAAAGATAAGTTAAGGGGCACACCTAGTGTAATGGCCTAGAAAAAGGTGATTTTTTGGGAATTTTTATTAAAGAAAATACTTTATCAATTATTTCAAAATTTTAAGAATATATTTATACATGTTTCAAGAATATACAGTGAAATTTGTGAAGAAAAAAATTAAATATTTTTTAAGTTATAGTCGATCTTCATCGGCGCGAAAAACAAGGTCCTTCACTGCTGCAAGGATTCCGGCCTTTTCCGTGGATGAAATAAAAAAAAATTCTCGACTAGGTACAATGTCCTACGATACAAAAAAATCAAAAATTGACGATATGGCGGCGTTTAAAAAAAAAATAGTCGAATTTTACCCAAAATTTTGGTTGTTTTTGGCCTGCCAAAATTCGATTTTTTGATCAGATCAAAAATCGATAGGTCATTACGGAAAAAATATTGTTGCGAAAATGCGAGGCGAATGTCAGATGAAAGAGAGAAGCCGATAACTAGTACGTTCTAGAAACGATAAAACAAGAACCTTCCCTAGCGAACAATTCGATGCTTCTACGCTTTCGTCTGCGAGCAGCCGACTGCTATATAAAGGCGACACTCAGCTGCAAGTCAAGTCAGTGACAAAGCGAACTGGTTGGCGTTAACATCAGTGAAGACGTAAAGTGAACGCGTTGGGAATTACATTTAAGTAGAGTAAATTGAGAAAGTTGATGTTAGTGATTATAAATAGTAAAGTGNCGATAGTGATCGGATCATTTGTTTTTGAGTAATCACTGCAGCGAGTTCGGAAAATGCTGTTTCGAGAAAAACGCGTTTGAAGATAAAATGATCGCTTTCACTCGTAGCTACCGAGCGACTGCTCTTTAAATTGCTATAACTCAAAAACTATTAGAGATATCGATTTGAAATTTTAATATGCTATTTTTAAAGGTATAATCTACGTATAATATAGAAAAGATCGTTTTTTTTTTTGAAATTTCACATTTGGTGTGCCCATTAATTTAAAACCATCAAAGTTTTTCCACATATAAAAATATATGAAATAAATTTCACTAAAATACATTTTTTTTTTCATAAGCAGAAAATAAATTATAAAAATAAAACAGAAATAATTTTCCTCCCTTTCTTGTATTCTAAACACAGGGGGAGTTCCAAAACTTCAGTTGCAAAGGAACCATACATAGTAAAGTATTATGACGTTTTGGAACTCGCCCACACTTCGAAAATCGGGAAAACTTCCCAGTGGAAATAATTGGCATCACATGCAAAAAAAATTCGGATTATTTCAATATTCCGCGACAGTATTTTCCCATGGACGTTGTGTGGCAGTTTGAAAAAAAATAATGTAAGTATTTAATAAATATAACACAAATAATCGTATTGATTGTTTCGTTGCAATTGCCAGTAGAGCTAACGAAACACAACTGTAGTTCAAGGATATTTTAGGGAAATAAGAAGGAGTGGAACCGATTTTGGGACAAGGTGAACTACGATTGTGGAATGGAAGAAAGTAAAATTTCTTTTCCAGTAAAAGTCGGTTTTTTTTTAATTACACATTTTACTTTCAGGTGTGGGATGATCAAAAGAAAAAAATGCGGCTCAAAAAATCAAGGCCAGAAAACGCGTCAGGAAGAAGCCCTAATGCAGAGCGTAAATTGTCCTCTTTCGAAGAAGCGGAATTCAACCTCATTGAGATGAAATAGTCGGTTGAAGTGTTGTCTGTGAGGAAGTTTGGTTTGCAAGAGCAGGAGATCTTGCCAAACATCGTGGATATTTGCCCTGGTGTAGAATTTATTTACCTTGAAGAAGAATTCGTTGCCATTCTTCCTCAATAATACACAATATCACTAATCAGCTGATTTCGAAAGGGAAAAATCCTACTTCGAAAAATTCTTCTCTTTGTGCATTTAGAATTAGCGAAATTTTTCTTAGAGGATTTCTAAATCGAAAAGGAAGAATTTCAGCGAGAATATTTAGAATTGTGCTGTATATGTATGCAAATATGATAATTTCTTATTCAGAAGAAAGCACCAATTATACAAATTTTTGTTTTTGCACTTATGTACAACTAAACTGCAGCTAGAGATTCGGCGCAAAAATTAACAAACAAGGTGCAATGCGTAGGTCGTTGCCCAGGTGGCCGAAGACGACCAAATGTAATTAAGCGCTTTACACAAAGGTCCTGGCTTTGATACATAACCATGTTTTTTTTTTTTGTTAATCACTACTTCAGTTATATTATATTGTTAACTATTCGATGAATTCAAGTTTTCATTCAAAAAATGTTATCATTATATTTATAAAAAGGGGGGAGTTAAAAATAATAGATGTGTTCGTTGAGAAATGTCATTAAAAATAAGCCAGTAGCGAGATTGAAAGAAAGAGAAAGAAATTTACTGAGTTTTCCTCGAACAGGATTCAGTAAAGCGAACTGTACAACAGTTGCTCATTTTGGCGGTTAAATTTTAATCTGTTCATTTATACAGTTTGTTTTTCTGCTTTTAATTATATTTCTAAGTGTTTTAATAAAATTGGCAATTATATAGCATATTTAATTATTTAATTTATTAATGATATTCAAAATTTATTTTATTTCAACAATGAAGAAATTCTACATGCTTTATAGCCGTCCAACGATAAAGACGAAAATTTATGTAAAACTTTTTTGCAACAATTTGTCGTTTAGACTTTCAGGAAGGATGACTTAAATACGAAAATCAGTTTGAAATTCTTTTTCCGTGTAAGCCGGCCATATTATCTCAACATTATTATAGAGTTTATCCGATTATGTTCAAATAAAAACAAAAAAAGAGCTTTATTTTTCCTTCTAAACGCCACTAATATTTCATTTTAGGTATCGTCGTCGCTTCCGGAAGCTTAATGATGCATTATCGTCATTGTCAACGTTGCAACAACTTTACTTCACAATGTTTTGCGACTCATTTGGACGACACTGCTGTTAAGTACATTTAAGGAATCCAAATTCAATTTGCGTTGTACAAAAAATAAAAACATCTTCTAATTCTATGCCTTCAACATTCCTAATTCCGCTGACACAGCATTCTCATTTAATCAGTACCTCAACTATTTAATAGAATCGTGAATATTATTAAATTTAATTTAACATAATTTTTATTTGGGAACTAATTTTGTTATTTCATAATTTATATTAAAGTGTTAATATTATTTTGGTTTTAAATCAATTTTGTTTTGTTGGTAAAAATTTAATCATATATAAATCACCTGTTTTTTAAACTTGTTAATTTTTAATGGCTGAAATTTTCTCATCACGAGTTTTGAAACTTTCATCCAAACATTTCATTCATTTACAATTGCTACTGTCCAGCAGCTCGACGAACATACTAAATGTACAAAAACGAAATACTCACCTGTATCAGTTGTAAGGACACGAGTACAAGCTAAATGAAGGCTTTGATGATTTTCTGCATGAAAAACTTTTTTATCATGTGTGAACCACACTATTAAGCCAAATTATTCGAGGAAATTTTGCTATGAAAGATATCTTATTTTCTTCGTCGTAACCATCCTGGAGGCTGTAAAATGATTTTGCTTCATAAAATCCAATTTATGTGTCTTATGTCGCCTTGATATTTCATTGCCTCGAGTCATGATGATCTTTCCAAAACAAAACATAATCATAAAGTACGTTGCACCATCATCGAATATGGTTAGTTATTGCTTAATTCCAAAGCTAAACAGAAATCCAACGAACGATATGTAACTGATATCTAACTGAAAACTCATCTAATGACCATGCAATGTAAGATAATTTTCAAAAGTTCAACAGCTCTAGTTCCGAAGTGTTTTTCTATAATAATTACAATTTGAGTTTTTATTCATATTTTTGCTTTTATTTTTAAAATTTATAAGTCTCGAACCTAATATTAACATTAAGTATTTTATATGATACTCAGCTGGTGCGGGAGATGTATATATTTGTATCTTTTATGATTAATATGTTATCTTTTTTTTTTTGAATAAAATTATATCACTACCTTTCACATATTATAGAATCAATTAATATATCTGTGGTTACATTAAATATGTATTACACTTACAATTTTTGCTTCTAATATGACTATTCTTATATCGTACCTTTTGATGCGCATAATCACAACGGAAATATAAAATGATTAAAATATTTTTATCCCTTGTAACAAAATCATTTTCTTCACATACACATACCAAGCGCTCTAAATAGAAACGAATTTCGCTAGTGTGGCAATTCTTCTTCAACTAACATTTTGCTCATATTAAGTAACATTCATGCTTAAAATATGAATCTATTTGATGGCCGATTTTAAAGCAGTTTCTTTTACTTAAATTAAAGAATTTCGCCATAGCATTTTTAATGACTCCCACGACTGTTTGTTGGTCAGCACATTCATTTCCTATGAAATATAATATTCGTATTTCGCTTTTTGAATTATAGAATTTTAAAGAACTGAAAGCTACATTCCCGAAATTTACCAGAAACTTAAAAGTTTTGCTTTTTGATATGAACTTAAATTTATGTATGTGTTTAGTTTCCATCTGAGTAATCAATATTTTTCTATTAAAATCTAATTTCACCATTTCAAATTTCATTTGTGTATATTGTACTAGAGCTGAAGAAATTTTATTTGAGTACCAAACGCTGAAAGCTGACTTATGCATAGTACCCGCACATTGACGAGCATGCGTTCAGTCATTTCATACATTCTTCTCTGTACGGTCTATACTTTTAAATTTATTCATGAAAAATATAATATTAATAATAAAAAGTGCCAGTAGTCACATGAAGCGTTCTTTTATTTTTGTTAAACTAAAGTAAGAGTTTAATTTTGTTACCACCGCACTAACTTATTCAAACTTATATAAATCGATGTTAGAAGTATGATCGTAATGCAGGAAAGAGCATTTCCTTACCTTATTTGAACGAATTTAATTTTTTGTTAAATGGTATCAATTTTATCAAGGATATAATCATAAGAATTGTATATTATATTAATCGCTAAGCGATTCCTTTTATTTTTACTTTATCTGGCAAATTTTATTATTAATACATATTTTGATAAATATAACTCAATTTATTAGTTACTCTGTCTGCTCAAATTCAAAAGTCCATACATATTAACATCAATTTTAATTATATTGTGTATGTATATTGTGAATTAAATATTTCAGTACTTTTCAATTCCGTTTGTCATTTCGTGTGTAACTTTCCAATGTTTCTAGGAATGCGAGATGGTATTGCTCTTGAAATTAGCTAGTGTGCTTTGGACTTGTGTGTTTTGATATGCAACCTAACAATTTGTACCAATTACCAAATGATAAGACTTCTAATGAACTGAGCATATCGCCAGACTATACCGGTGTGACTATGCAGAAATAACAATTGTTGAGGTCTTTTGATAATATTGATCATTAGCTAGCAAATCGATTGAAGTACTCGTTCTCTCGCAATGCAACTTGTCCTGTTATATGACAAAAAAGGTTAGGTAATGGCATTATTTGAAGTTCTTATGAACACATAGCCACTCCCGACATACTTTAAGCACAATCACTGTGGTCATCCACAGAATAAAAGACCAAACGACACAGATTATAGGAGCGGCCGCATGAGGTTCCACGCTAGCATCCACCTGACTTAAATAAACTCGTTAAATAAATCGTTTTCTTGGCTTGCCAAATGGCTTTTGCTCCTAAAGCGCATGCGCCAGATATACAACTAGACGCCGTGGAACGGGGTGACCACCAACCATTTCGTTAGTGAGTTGAGATAAGTTCACTTGTCATCTCCAATTGCCTTCAGGCCGTAAAAGAATTGACTGAAGTGGTTTATTCATTTGTAATCGTTTCAGCGATATGCCGACTATGAGAATAATATTGTTTTAATGCGAATCATTCCACAAAATAATATTTCTATGCTTAATATAAGTAAAATAAACCGTTTTTAAGTAATCTATATCTCCATAAATATTGCAAAATATTTCGAAGAATAAGTTTACCTTCTTCTGTCACATTAGTTCAAGCATACTATTCAACTCTGGCATAATTGTTAGCTAATGAATATTACAAGGCGTACACTCTCACATTTATACTGATTAAGATAAATAAGCATATTGAAGTGGAGATTTGCAAAATATTTTATCCTTGCTAATCACTAGTAGTATCATTAACAATATTTGTATAAAAAAATAATAATAACGAAATTAAATAACTATAGTAGTGGGAAATCCTAGGCTTAGAAGGGACAGTTATATGGGGCAAAATTTCGATTACATTTCCTCTTTTCTTCTTTCTATTAAGTTTATGACTTTTTCTAATTTGTAATTGAAGAGAGTTTCTGTGCAACTCCGTTCACAGTCTTTGATTTTAGGACATCGTTTTCATATGAAAACACAGTCTCTTTCCCATTTTCATAGACTCTGCAAATAAAAAAAATTAAAACCTATTAAAGTATTTAAATTCATTTTAAATGTGCATTTCAGAGCATACCGTTTAGTCATTAGTTTTTTACCATTGACGAACGTCGTTGAAGTTGAGGTGCGTTTTACAGCGCCATTACCCGAACCACCTCTTCCATTTGGCAATGAATTGATCGAGCTAAATGATGTGAATCCATTTGAAGGCATCATAAAATCCATCATAGAGTAATTTAGCATAGGCGCTCCAAACGGCGAGGCCAGTTTTGTGCCGGCGTGTTGACGTCCACTGCTACTTAAACCATTATTGTGTCTGTTCGATTGTGGATAGCCACCCACATCTGTGAGAATACATTATAAAAAAGTTATTAAAATTTGTTTTGGATATATGTATGTGAAAATATTGAGTTCTTGTATCACCTCTAAACAAATCAAGAAATGGAGAGTTCACACCAAAAAATTCACGGAAAACTTCTTCAGGTGGCCGAAAAACGAACGGGAAACCACTTATCACATCGAAGTCATCAAACTCGTGCGCGTGATGATGGCGTGAAGATCGATGATGGCCGCGATCACCCATTAAACCTTCTTTACCATATTGGTCATATATACGACGCTTCTTTTCTGAAAATATTGTTATAGATATTTATGTTAGAATAATTTCCAATACAAGTGCATGTAAATTTATTAATTAAACAAATTGAACGCAACAAGGAAGAGTTATTTACTTGAATAACAATATATTTCTAAATGAGTTGAAGACCATTTCCTTGAAAGGTAATGTCTTTTTATTGAGTTATCTTGGCGGCAAGCTGCTCCAAATGAAAAATAATTACAAAAGATGTAAATAACGCAATGCGATAATTCTTTTTGTATTGAAAGTATCTTTTCCTAATAATCACTTTAAAGGAAATAAATCTCGTATCTGAGAAACTTTTTGTGTTATCACGTAGAAATGGCTAAATAAACTGAGCTCAGTTTTCGTATATTACCGATACATATGTATTCAGATATGCTTCTCATTATTATCATTTTAATTATTATTAATACTGTTTTTATTATAATAATTAGTTTTTAATATTTATTAAGGGTCTGAAGTTTAGGCGCAAAAAGTAAAAGGTTTATAATTTATATGCTAGATGTACACAATTTGGAGTCGCATTTAAATATTTGAGGTGCTTTGAAGGTAATTCTTTTCTAGGTTATTTCGCTTTAAACTGGTTCCTTAAGTTTTATCGAATTCGAAAAACAAAGGACGACGCTGCGACGAAATAGCAGAGATAAAGGTAAATTGTGTACAATATTATGGGGATTATTTTGAAAAACACTCAGCAGTTATTCATATCAATGCTTTAATTTCCAATTATTTTAAGATTATATGCATCTGAAGAACTTTTTGTTGTTGTATAAACCAATCCTTAAAGATGTTACATTTGTGGTAAAAATACCCAATGTAGTCTACTCGGTTTTTAGAAGAAAATGATGTGTGTTAATAAACTATGGTTATTCTGTTACAAATAATATAAAAATATAGCTACACAACATGGGATTCAAATAGCTAAATTATGCAAATACATATAAATGTGTACATATGTATGTACTAGAAATCTTTAGCCTATAGATCAATATCAATGATATTTTTTCATGTCCTAAATTTTTTAAATCCCTTTCTATTTTTTTAGTCGCCAGTAATTAGGGTTAGTCGAAAAAAACACAAAAACATAAACATAAGCATAATAATTATTAGGTTATTAGGCGATAAGCTAATAATGGGTAACAATAACCATTGGGTAACAATTTTACCAAATAATTTATGAAATGGCGTCCACTCAAATATATTTCGAAAAGTAAATGAGTGGTATTTGTTCCCCTGTTTCGAAGAGTAATTATCATGTCTACTATAGTCGTCATCGTTATAGTTGAAATTGTAATCGCGTTTAGGATCTGTGCGAGTTCGATACCTATATCCACAGCCACTGGTATATCCGCTGTTTTTTGAATAGCTGTAATTGGAACCTTCCTTGTGTAGAGTCGCACGTGTGTCATATATTTTCCGTCTACGTGCTATAAGTGAGTACATACATACGTATAAGTTTTTATAAATCTGAAGTACGCCTTAAACGAAACATTCTTATAAGATAACATAATTTTTTTTATTACCACTGAACCCTTTTTGAAATTTTCCATCTCCCTCGTCTGCCGTCACATATTTAATTATGCATTTGGGCATATACTTTTGAAATATTAAAAGCAAATTAAGTTATTCATGATTGTTTCTTAAATTGTTACAACAGATCGAAGTTGTTGGTCGTAATTTCCAATTTTGATCAATTCAACTTCACACTTCCTTAAAGGGAATATTTTGTCGGGTGACATACGTACATGTGGCACAATATTGTTCTTCCTTTCATTCTGATAATACCCAAATTAAAACACATTTATACAATCAGATAGTGAACATCATCGTATTAAATACAACTTTGACACAGTTGGCCATACAAGTGTATCATCCCGTTTGCGGGGAATCCCATCTGTATCGAGAAGACAATTTTCAAGTATACGATGAATCTTTAAGGGCTGATTCACATTAAATGTGCTTCGCCTTGCCTTACATGTTCGAAGTGTTATAGCCTATTTCCACCAAGCACTTAAATGCATTTAAGGCCTCTGTTAAGTAAATGAAATATCAAACGTTTCCACCGAAAGTGAGTTAACTCAAACAGCTGATTTTTGTTTACATTTGCAGTTTATAAAATTTGCCACAACTATAGAAATCATGAATTCCAGAGACCGCATTCATCTTATTTGGCTATTTCTGCAATCTTAAGACTTGCAAGTGCAGATTATTTCTGCACGGACAAACGTTGCTGAAACGAATATGCTTTTATGCATGTTTCCATTTTCATATTTGTTTGGTTGTTCCCTCAAATTATTTATTTTGCGCAATCAGCTGATAATTACCAGAGCCACGTATATTTTTATGTTGAGGGGATCGTTTTATATTTCACAATTGTTTATTGTTTGTTTCTTATAGTTTTTTTTTTTGAAGGCGGAGAAGCATTATCTTCGCCAATTACTTAATATAGGCATTTATGTTAAAACTATTGCAAAAAAGGAATTTTTATACAAAAAATTTCACCATGCAAAATAAAAATCTTGCCCCTCATTAAATCCGAAAATACACGACTCTGGCAAGAAGTACACCGAAACTTCCGAAATGATTACATTATTAGTGACAGCATCGAATGTAAACATAACATTTTCTGTTAAATTGCCGAAAGTGAGTTAACTCACTTTGAAAAGTGAGTTACCACACTTTTATACAACAACAAACACATGGGAATTACCGCATTTAAATGCGATGTTTAAATACATTTAAGCTAAAATGCATTTAAGCTCCGGTGGAAATAGGCTATTAGCCACCCAGCCATTTTACATAATTGCCGGCCGTAACACCAGACTGAAAGAGGTATATGTTGTCAAATGTCATGGTCGTAGCTTGCAGCGGCGATATGTTGTTAGTTGTCAGTGTGCGTGCATTTATATATACATATATATAATTGACGCTTTGTAACCGCTGAAGCGATTTTCCGCCGAGCTCCTCCTCCAATTTGTGGTTTTGCGTCTTGATATTTTTCCAACAAATGGAGGGACCTACAGTTTATACTAAGCCGCCTCCGAACGGCTGATGATTTTTTTATAAGGAGCTTTATTTCATGTCATTCCCTGCCGAGAGGAATGTTGGATGTTGGTCGCACGGGGAGCCTTCCGAATTGCCGTACGCAATGCTAACCACTCGGCTACCGCGGCTACCTTCTTTTTTCCCCAAATTAAAAAAAAATCATTTGCTTAGTTCGTTGCAAATTTATTTATAAAATCTCTATTTGCAACTTTGCCCAATGGAGCACAACCAACTGTGTCGATTTTATTGAAAAATGCACATGACCGAAGGGTTTCTACGGTAGAAACGTGAGTACAATTAATTTCTACAGTAAATAAATTTAAATTTTATGTATTACAAAGTTTTTAAATAACTAAAGAAAACATCTGGCATCAGCAACAGAACCAATGAAAGACACACCTCTCATTGGAAATATTTAATAGTCATAAGATGGAGATGTTATGAAACTTGTAATATTAACTTTTTTCAGAAAACTTAAAACCACCGGATAATGGCTCTGATTGTAGGATATAAGCATCGTCTGGGTATTTAGAGAGGAGAAAATAGCTGATTTTAGCGTTGACTAAGGATATGAGTTCAGCTAATTTTTGTGTATCACACGGAAATCAGCCATAACAAACACACACGTTCGTCAATGTTCCTCCTGTATTATTTGCATTTAAAATTCGATCAGCTCATTTCAAAATATTTACATTCCATTTCATAGCGATGAATACGATGTTCCTAATAGCCGATAAATATCTTTGTTTAAATTTTAAATAGCTTACCATCCGACAAAACTTCGTAGGCCTCAGATAGTTCCCTAAATCTTTTATTGGCTTCGTCTAAATTGTCTGGATTCTTATCAGGATGCCACTTCAGCGCCAACTTTTTATAGCTAAGAGAAAAATTTAAAAATATAAAGTAAAATTAAAATTGTGCCGAAATTTATGCCTATATATGAATATATAATATGTAATAATACTTAATTACAATAAACTAAAAGCTATGTTGTTTTCATAAACATAAATATGTAGCGTTCCTTAGGTTACAAACTAATATTGCTGTTGTTTGATGTACCTGTTCATCGAAACTAAAACTCGAAATTATCCGTGCTACCAAAAAACGAAATAAAATTATTTTCAAATATATATACATATATATATATATATATATATATATATATATATAAGTATGCCTCAATCTATTTTTGGCTGAACTTCTCCTCTAATTTGTGGAATATCTTTTGATGCTTTCCCAACAAATTGAGGAACCTACAGTTTATACGGACCCGCCTAAGAACGGCGGATAGATTCTTTTGATGAGCCTTTTCTATTTCATGTCAAAAATACAATCGGAGGGCTTAAGAGTCCTTGACGAGGGGGACTGCAAATTTAATTTTGGATCTTGGCCCTCCGATTGGCATCACACAATTCTAACCACACGGCTATTGCGGCCGCTGCTAAAAAACTAAGCTACTGAGAGCGAGCATTTTTGATAGTTACTGGCTAACTCTTACAGATATTTTTCACATAGCAAAGCTTTTTTTCATCAAAAGGAAGCATACGCGGTGTGTCAATTTAGTAGTGAGACTGATTCCATAAAAACCGTATATTTCAAAATTCTTCTAAAACTCTGTCATCCCCTTCAAAGTAGTCCCCTTGGGCAGCTATTCTAGCGCGTTTTCCATGCCTCGTAACATTTCTGGAACCCTTTGACTGGCATGTCCGCGAGTACCCTCGTCACGGCCGCCTGGATGTCCTCAATCGGCTCAAATGAATTTCTTTGACCACCGATTTTGTTCTAGGGAGCAAAAAAAGTAACAGGGTGACATATCTGGCAAATAAGGCGGTTGTTACCACGTAGGGACCCCTTAGAGGCCAAATATGGGGACACGCTGAGGGCGGTGTGTCACGGCGCGTTGTCGTGATTAAGGGTTCAGGTATTTTCTCATTCCAAAATCGTCGGTTAAACCTTGTCTGACTGTTTTACGGTTCGTACCCAGTTCCGACGCCAACATTCGAACTGTTAAACGTCGATCTTCAAGGATTAGTGCGCACACACGCTGCGCATTCGTGTTAGTCTGCAACTCGACTGTCCCCCCTCTGGCGCCTCGTCTTCCACGCTCTCACTCTTTATGCCATCGAATCACCTGGGCACAACTAAGAGTACTATCACCATGCACTTTTACAGTTTTAGTGGCGAACTTTTCCGAAACTGTCTCGCTAAATTTTTTTTTTTTTTCATTTTAGTTATGAGCACCACGAACACACTTTTACTCAACAAGACGCAGCAGGCAAATATATCAATTGAGAGAAGGACGAGGAAATTTATTTCAAGGTAAGAGGGTTAACACAATCGCGACAATAAAATCAGTCTCATTGCTTAATTGTCACACCTCGTAGATAGTATTTAATTAATAAAGTTAATGCCCATCGCCCTCATATTACGAGAGGAATGTGTTTATCTCGTTTCATTCTTAGATATACATTTACACTGCATATATATATTTTAAATGGTATCCAATACGGCTCGACTTTAGCGTATTGTCCTTGGCATGAAATTTGGCTATATCCTACTTAACTCTCATAAATTCCAGCAAGGTCGTTAATTGAACTGGACTGGTTTGATTATATTTATGCTTCAGAAAGTTAAAACCTATGAAAAAACCAACTAAAATAGTACTTCGACGGATTATTTAAACTAAATTTTCCGATAAAAGATAATCTTGTATATGCCTGTGGCAGTCGAAAATATATTTTTTATCGCCAAGGTGTAAATGTTAATTATCTGCTGGTGTTTCCTTATGAAATAAAATTAGTTCCAAGGAATAAAATTATTGCTTTGCATATGGCAAAAATTAAAATAATGACTATTTTCCGTTTGTGAGTTTAGTACCATACAACTATTTTATACCGCTGTATTTGATTTAATTTACAATTATACTGTATAATATATAATTTAAAATAATACCAATTTCCCAACTTACGCTTTTTTCACTTCGCCTTCCGTCGCATTCCTTGATATGTCGAGAACTTTGTAATAATCAACCATTATTATATTTTATTTGTACGCCTCGTAAATTATGATGATGTCTTTAAAAATGGTAGCAACGTTCTACATATGCCAGTCAATGCAACAGCTTATCTTTCATTTACCTGAAAAAAGAGACCTCATTTAAGCCAGATCTACCAATTATTGTATAAAAATAATTTGATGTATGCATTCATTTATGAAGCTGGATGCTTTTCCGTAGTTACCTCTGTGGGTAACTTTGCTCAAGGGTAGGGTAAAAGAATTTTTTTATCTTATAGTGCAACCTTTAACGATATCCTTTCAAATTTTCATTCTTTAATTAAGTTAATTTAGTAATTAAATTTAAACGTTTATTCTCAAATGCTTTCTTGCTCGTTATTGAATATTGTCGAAAGCATATTTAACCATTTATAAAAGATTATGAAAAAAACGCTTTTCTGAAGATCTCTAAAGTGGACTTCCTAACAAAGTTACAATAAGACAAGGCTCGAAGATCATTACTAGCTTTCGATAGTACTAGAGATATAAATTATCAGAGGTAAAATCAAGTAAAATGCTTAAATTAATGAACTAGATTATCTAATGTTTTTTTTAAGGATAAATAATGATAAACAAATGTTTTATGTTAAGTAATGGTTGCTTATTAGCAAGCAATAATCAATAATACAATTATATACATATTAACTCTGTTTGAAGAGAAATTCACAACTGAGCTCTGAGTGCAAATTTTGCTGGCAGTAATGAAATATTCTTAATTCAAAAATGGACTATTGCCCACCCTAAAAAAACCCAGTTAAAAAGTTGAATAACGATTAATATGCTGTATATATATGTAAATACATACATATGTGTTAAATGCCGTAAATATGAGGCCCAATCGACAACTTCTTTATCTCTTATTATGGAGTTTCACTCCGAAACCTTCGGTTTAATCGTCAGTTTGTCTTCAATATAAGAATCTTTTAAGCTTTTTTTTCACAATAAAGAAATAATAAACAATTTAGACACCATCATCAAGGTGATTTCGCATTCTACTAATGTAACTGATGATCCAATCAAATTTTGTTTGCTGTACATAGCAAATATATTGCTTAAGGGTCTTATTAAATAATTAATTAATTTTAGTGTTAAATATTCATTTTAAACATAATCATTTGTCTATGCACAAGTTGATGCAGTAAGAATAGGTTATATTAAATGATATAGTTTTTGCAAGAGTACAATCAAATATTCTTTAAGAGATATAAAATTCAAAAACATAAGATTTGGCATGTCTCCCTCCCACGCAATTTGTAGCTGAACCAACCGACCTACTCATTGCTACCTTTAAATAGAACTATGAACATCGAATGAGAATAAATTAGATAATTTATTTATATGTAGTGTTTATACATTAGGGTGATTAAATTTTTTTATTAGATTTCATTTCATATAAATGACTATTTTAATTTGATTACTGAAATAATTTTTTTTTATTCTAAATAAATTAAATATACATAATAACTTATAAAAATGCGAACACTATTTGAAACAATCTGGGGCCACAACTTGAAAGAGAAAGTGACAGTATGTCCGTTAAAAAGTCAAAACAGAAAAGCCTCGATCCGAAATGTACGACTACCTTCAAGCGTCTTAAAAATTGCTTATTTGCACTCTAATTCGACATTCAAGGTGATGAAATTATTTTTTAGGAAGCAAAATGCGAAATGGCTTTTACGTACTATATATGTAGGGTGTTATAATTAGATGTACTATTTTTTAAGAAATTTCTACTTTCATCTAAATTTAATACGTAGCCTTATGTATATATACTAAATATCACATAAGTATGTACATATGTATATGCAAAATATATTTAAGATTTAAATGAGAAGGGTTCTGTTAAATTTATTTATATAAAAAGCGTGGGTGTCTTACAGTTATCACTACAATGAGAAAAGTTCCATCACCAAGCACATGGTCGACCGGTGCAGAATAGATGATAGGAACATGTGTAAGTATCTGAATTTATTCTAAATATTTGTAAAATATTTCAAAACAGATTATATCATCACACATACATATATGGTTAATTTTCCGGGGAGCTGTCCTTCCATTTATGGAGCGCGTTTTGAAGTTTTGCCTAAAGAAACCCTTTCGCTACAACATTTTTCACTGCAAAATATTTTTCAAATAAGTACCCACATCATATTCGCTTAATTTTCTGAATATAGGGCCAACAGTTGGGATCAAAACGATTTGCTGGTCAGTAACTACAGTCACCAACGTTTACAGGCAGAGTTTTGTAGAACGTGAATATGAAAATAGTCCTGATAATAACAAAAGAATTAAGCATCCACTGGCGGGTTAGGGGATAAAGAATTTGCCCGTAGTAAGGCATGCCTGCCGTGAGAGGACTAGTTCCCGCAACAGTCGGGTCTTTATACCGGAACGACCCGGGCATTTACTCCGGCCAAGAACCCGCAATTACAACAACAACAACAATAAAGGATTAATTCAACTCCGACTGGCTAAAGTGCAATGGGCTAGCGATTTCAGAATTTACACGCGGCAAGGCTCGTCTGTAGTAAGGTTGCACTAAAATACTAATCTAAATCTTACTTATCCTTTAAAGAGGTCAAAAAGTATTATAAATTTCTGCCAGGATTAGAGTGCTAGCGAGAAAAATATTCTAAAGGAAAAAGTTCTTACTGCGGCCGCCAAGTCGGAAACATAAAACCGAAGAGGATCACGGCCGAAAACAATTAAGCCTCTGAGCGACCCATGGATTTTTTTTGAGAAACTTTTATTTCATGTTAGAAATACACCCGGAGGTAACGCCGAGCCGTATTGGCCTTTCGAAAAACAGTATACAATTAAATCTCCTACCTATTTAACACACTCTCCCTTTGGTTCGAATCGGTCGAAAAGTTCGTATCCTAGGCATCCCGGGTGATTTCGATTAGCTAGAATGTTCCTAAGCGGGGTTGGAAAAGCCGCTATAACAACAACAGTAGAGAATACTAAACACTCGGCTATTGCGTCCGTCAAGTGGTGGACAGTACTTCGATTAAATGTAAAATGCCGTGATCTCAAAATAAATACTATTTCTTTGACCAACAAAACGTCGAAACCAATTTTTTTTTCGTTATATTTTAATAAAAAAAAAATATTGTTCTAAGTGGCGTCATTAATATACCCCTTTGTATTTCATATTTATGAGAAGCGGTAATTTCATCAAACCCATGCAAGCTCGGCATCCTATACACATTTTATGAGTTGAACAGTGTATTGAAAAAGTTAATGTCACAGTAACAAAAACATATGTACGTCTACATATTTATATGAGTATGTAGGTAGTATATACATAAACATGCATCTATGTATAAGCCAGTATAATCGTTATTTAAAATAAGCAATGGCAGTGACAGTGGTGAAACTGTAGACACAGCCTCTGTATTTGGAGAAACCTGTACAAGTATACCTTCAACGAACAAACGGGCAGCTTCGTCTTCCAGTCATCAAGTGCCTCTTGCCGCATATGGTTAAATGAGTAAAACACCAACACCTTCTGCTAAACCAATAACACTACCACCAACGCTATAAACGGTGCGGCTGATACAACAACAATATGTTAATGCCTGCTGGTAGTTAGTAAATTTATATTCGATTAGAGAGCATAATCATGGTTTGAGACCAAAGCAGCAAATATATTTTTATATTTATTTAAATTGAGATATATTTAATAATCCACGTATGTATGTATTTCCATGGATTTTTATCGCGGCAGGGGATTCGAATAGAGAATTCCATACCTAACAGCGACAAACTCTAACTAACATTTCTCGCTACTTATCTTCTTTATAATAAGCGTTTTTTTAATTCGTCTTTAAAAATGAACTTATTCAGCTTTTCACGGTACGGTTTTTATAAAAAACTATAATTCCTGTTGACCTAAAGGGATTAGTTTAACGAAAATGGGGCATCCCATGGCCGACTAAAAGCCGGCTCAACTCCCGCCATGTAGGTCCTGCGCAACTTAGGTTGGTCTCTTTTGTAATTTTGGGTAATGTTGCGGGAGTGAGAGTCCTTGGCCGGGTAAAAAATCCGGGTAGTTCCGATATAAAAACCCGACCGTCTCGGGAACAATTGGATTTAGTCGCCTCTTCCGACAAGCATGCCTTACCGCGAGTAAATTATTGAACTCCAATCCGCAGTAGTCGGAGCCAAATGGTAAATACAGTCGCTTACCATTTTACCTACATAATGTACCAATGTATTTTTATTGAAGCTTAGTTTATTTCATACTAAAAACATTAATATTTATATTTAATTATCTTTCGGAAAGAAGAGAACAGTTCAAAGTCAAATAAGTAAGTTTTTGTAGTCCCAGAAGTCTTGGAGCTTTCTTGCTATTGATCTAGTGTTACTTGTTGCCCTAAGAGCGTTAGGTCGCGGTAACGATGAAAGCCCTTGGCCGGATAAGATCCGGTGCGTAGAACCGTATGTCTTGAGAGTTGGCTACTCCTTTTACTCGTTGTTTGCAAACTTTAGTGCAAATTTTTTAGTAAAACAAAACATCGGCAAATCTATGGTTGAAGAAATATATAGTTGTGTTCTTTTTTATTCATTTACGTAGATAAAAATGAGTTTTACATAAGATACATACTTTAAAACTCACCTTATGATTAATTTGAAAAAAAAAAAAACTTGTTTTCGGTTTTTAAAACGATATTATCTAATTATCTAACCACTATGAAAACCCAATGTTCAGACAAACGGAAAGAAAGACTCTGCAACAATAATAAAAAGTAAACGACACGCACATTCATTGAACAGCTTTGTAGAGAAAACCAGTTTATTGGCTTGATTCATCATCAACTAGTAGATCAGTGTCACTAATCAAGCATATGTACACGAATCAGATTACAATGCTTTCTAGTTTTTAAGCATTACTTACACAGTATTTTAATACATATTATTATTATTTTTAGAACTAAATAAAATGTTCAAGAAGCGTCTGCAAAAAGATTTGAATACCTTGAGATTTTAACTTTGTTTAAATTTTATTATTATGGACAAAACACAAATAATAAAGTAAATATGTACTCCAATGATATATGTGCATACATACGTACAACTTATCAAAAATTAAAAATGTATATTAACTATTCAAATGAGTGGAAAGTAATATGCACTTTAATATTATATTAAAATGGTCATCCTGATTTTGTCCAACAGTGATCCAGCTTGTTTTATGTACGTATGTTTGATATATCTTCATATTTACTTATACACATAATATATGCTTGTGTATATTTTTATTTGTTGTCAGCGCTCACAGCACACATTCACATTTCCTTTGTATAGACAACATGCCGTTGAGTCAGATATTTGGCAAATATTCTTAGTGATAAACAGTTTTAAAACAAGCCATGCATACATGTGTTTAAAATCACGGAAATTTTTAGTCGTTTAATAAATCATGACTCTTTTATTGATAAAAAAAACTAACATATATTTTGATATTTTTTTTCTTTCAAAGAGTCAAAACAAACTTTTTTAAAATAGCACAATGACTGATATATTTAACTTCTTGTTTTTTTTTTAATTAACGAACATCACTACGCCAAATGATATGCGATACACAGGTAGGTAACAGCTTACTTTTTCCTTGAATTATCGAAAATAGGGCAAAACCTTTACATCCACAGCACAAATTTTTATTCCAAAAGCAATACTAATTGTTTGATTCACTAAATTGTAGGTAATTTTTAGTTTTCCAAATCCGAATAATCACTATTATTCATTTACTCGCACGTATACCCCGCATTCCCTTCAAAATAATTCGCTCGGTTTGCAGTTTTCAAAAGAGTGCATTAAAATTTACTAAATTAAATTCCACTCCAAACGATAACCAATGAAAACCATTTTATGGATTCGACAGTGGATTGTATTCCGCAATCAAGCAACAGTGCTGCCATGTATAGCTTCCACAATACAACTTTCACAGAGCTGTTCTCTTAGGTGATTCACTGTCGACAATTTGCAGATCGTTAAATTACTTACGGTTGTTATCCGATTTAATTAATTGCTAAATACGCTTCGTTCACAAAGCCTTTGAGTTCTATCACTGGATTATTAATATATTATTATAATATTGTTGCGAAAATGCGAGGCGAATACCAGATGAAGGAGAGAAGCCGATAACTAGTACATTCTAGAAACGATAAAACAAGAACCTTCCATAGCGAACAATTCGATGCTTCTACGCTTTCGTCTGCGAGCAGCCGACTGCTATATAAGGGCGACACTCAGCTGCAAGTCAAGTTAGTTACAAAGAGACCTGGTTGGCGTTAACATCAGTTAAGTCGTAAAGTGAACGCGTTGGGAATTACATTTAAGTAGAGTAAATTATTAAAGTTGCTGCAAGTGATTGTAGCTAGTAAAGCGCCTTTTAATTTAATTGTGAATCACTGAGTAAATAAAGGACATTAGATAAATTCTTTGTAACGAAAGAAACTGCAAATTAAGTTGGCGAGTTTTATTTAACAATCCAGAGATCGTACCCGAAGGATTTAGGAAATCATCGAGGTTGATTTAGTAAAATCGTAACAATATTCCCACTGTTACCGGTAAAGTAAATTTTGTTGCTTTTCTTGAGCACCCGAAATTGAATTTGGTATTCTCGCGAACTGGTTACAATGTTTGGCAGCACTGCTTTTTTCGTCCATTACAAATTGCATGACCATCCCTGGCGTTTTGTAAAAATTAATTAGACGATTTTTGTGAACGTGCTGGAAGAAATTCTGAAATGTGTCCGAACATTTCCTTCATCACCAGACATAATTGTTTTTCCACAAGTACTACCTTCCTTGTATTTTACTAGGTTTATACCAGTGCGCAAAAAATATGAGCGACTTCCTCAAGAGCTTTTATTTTGTTTACGTCAAAATTTAAAATTTCTTTTGGCACAGCAAATTGTAAAATTTTTCTTACCACAGTAAATATTTCCCACCTTTTACTAAATAAAACAGACGCAATGTATTCAATTCACGATTTGTTATTAATTCAGACTTTAAGGCAACGGTTAGCCGCCAATGGATAATACTTGTGTCAAAATAATTTTGTCTGGTTATGAAAGGAAAATTTGGACACATTTAAGAATTTCTACAAACATCACGGATGGTCATGCAAATATGAAGTTATTTGCTTTTTAAATTGGATGGCATTGTTGTTATTATTGTTATGATGTTATACTCTTCATAGTATGTATTCCAACAAACCCCTAGGGTTAGGTACAATTCTGACGTTTGTATTCACCACGAAAAATGTTAGAATTTTAATGTTGGTAGTTAAAATTTAAAATTTTTCCCTGATTGGCACACAGTCTATACGCTCTAGATGCAGAACAGTGTGTATCTTTCATCTGTCATTCGTATTTGGCATTTTTGCCACATTATCCTCCACCTAAGCATATTCCAAGCCTTTCCTAGTAGCCCATTTTCATGCCGTACAGCATGCTTTGTACCTTATTTTGTGAAATCTAACGGTATTTATATTCAGAAGACTGTACCGTAACTGTCGCACGTTAACGAATCACCTTGTCTGAAATCTCATTTGGTACCGGACGGCTCGGAGAGGTCTTTCCCGAATCTGACGGAGCTTTTGGTGTTGCTTAACGTCAGTTTACACAGCCGTATGAGTTTTACGGAGAGACTGAATTCAGACATTACGGCAAAGAGGCAGCTCCTTTACTCGCTGCCGACGTTATTAAGGGAGCTTATCTCACGGTAATTGGCACAGGCTGTGGAATCGTCCTTTTCGTGGATGGAGCAGAGTACACTTAGGTTCTAATGTTGTTGTTGTTGTTGTTGCCGCTTAGGCACAAGCTTGATCAATCTCAGTCGCCGAGGTCATCTAGTGGGAGGTCCAGGAAACGATCTGTTTTACGGGGTTGGACCAATGGGAGAGAGCGGTTAGATGAGTTGGTTAGAGAGGGCATGAAGAGGTAGTTAGTGTCTTGCGGAGACTCTCCACATGCAGGGCGTACGTTGGGTATGCTGGGGTCGAGTCGAGATAAGTAGGAGTTTCACATGTTACAATATCCAGACCTGAGTTGTGTAAGGGTCACGCGCGTCTCTCGAGGCAGCTCGAGCTCGTTGTCTGCTATAGGTGGTGGTTTTTCTCCGAGTAGGCCATTCACTGGAAGGAAGTCCTTGAAGGTGTTGACTGACTCCTTATGAAAGGTATTCAGTGCTTGTCTGTACGCCGTCCTGTCCAGGGATTGTTGTACAAATTGTTGGATTGTGCTCTTTAAATTTAGTACTTCCTTTCTGATGTGCTCAGGTGGAGGTTTAGCTTCTATTAGGTGCCTACTGGGGAGCTCCCTGCGGTAGCATCCCAATCGGAACTGCTTATTAATCTGCGTCTCGTTCGTCGCCGGCGCCCAGATCGGTGCAGCATAGTTTACGACCGACCGGCCGGTCAATTGCTTTATAAGTTGCCGGCAAGATTTCTTTGTCTTTATCCCAGGTGCTGCCGGCTAGCGCCATATGTGGAGTGAAGGACTTAGGTTCTAATCATCGGGCATGCTTTCATCCGACCATATTTAGGCACGCGACTGTAACTGCATACCCAGAAGCTTGAGTACATTACATCCCACAGAAGATACCTTACAATAAATTCGTTCAAATAAAAATAACAGTAAAGCTCTGATGTCAACTAAGTCCATACTTAAGATGCTGGCTAAGAAAAGTAGAGAATTGAGGACGGGGTGGATGGCAGAGTTTAACTTCACTTCTCTACCGTCCAGTTCAGAGCTGGACTCCGTCATATGGCGACTAAACCATCGTACAAGTGAACTTCCCAGGAAGATGCTCTAGATGGATCATCGACAACAGAAACGAATCGGCAAGGGTGTCTTTTACTCACGTCTTTACGGTTAGAACAATAGCCATAGACGACCGTCTTCCATCTTCTCAAGAGGATAGACTGCTGGGCACTCCTAACTACACTCAAGCAAGATACGCATGTGAACAGACATCGGAGCAACCACGAATCTGCAAGACCGCTTAAGTAACGGGGACAGAGTCACCGCACTATCCACACCTAACTTCCAACTTCCCGCTGAGCTGAGATTGTGGCGATGACTTCAACTTCAAAGATTTTTTTACTCAATACAATTAGCACTCTAACCTTTATAAAGAGGAGTAGAAGGAAAGTTTAGGATGAAATTATATCTAACAGTAGTGCGATAAATCTTGTGTCGTGATGAGAAGTCTCCTTTCAACATCGGGGGCTCGTAGTTATCGATGCATTGTAATAAGAACAGAAATAACGGAGTGAATTATGTAACAGCCTAGGATCGGCGTTCGCAGTATACAGGCCTTGTGTGATAGCGAAGCTAAAAAAACATAAGCAGAAATTGTAAAATGGCTTTGCTGCTGTTATATCGACAGCTCTCGTACGTTAAGGAAAATTTGGTATTGAAATCTCAGAGGTTTAAGCTGGGAGAAAAAGACTCAGTGTAAACCTGAAAAACGAGGTATGCTTCTTAACGAGGAAGACAAAACTCACCAATACAAACCACCATCTTTAAGGAGAAAATCATTATACTTGATAAAAAAAACTTAGCAAAGTATTCCTAATTTGGTATACCTGTATCGCTGACAGCAGCATATAAAAAGTAATATCATAACTCTGGCAAAATGATCAATGTGAATGGGAATGGGTGCAAGTCACCTACTCCCTAGTAGGGAGGGATATTCGGAAGGTAAAGCCATTTGTAATTATTAAAGGTACCAAATACACAACCTTTTAAATGAGAAAAACCGTTCGGTTCCTATAAATAGGCAATAACCAGAAAATAGCGAGACATTAACGGTCCTGCCTTTAGCTGATTGAGACGTCATATCTTTCCCGATGTTTCCAACTTTAGCATTATGGAGGTGGGCACACAACGAACGATTGGAAGAAACTAAAACAATTCATGAAATCGAGCGAAATCGAAAGCGTATCGATGAGATATAATGGAGCACAATGAGTCTATTTAATGACGGTCACGTCCTCAACCTCAACTTTCAAGTAACAAAAGCGGATGAGGAACACAATTTTTAATGACGATTACACATGTAAACACTCCTCATAGGATCATCGTTTGAGGTATTCGTCACAAATTTTCTGTATGTCGACTCAACGGAAATTATTATTGCTCGAAGAGAAAGAACTTGACTTTAAATTACCTACTAAGTGCAAAGTTGCCCCTGATGACAAGAGTAGTTTGGCGTTGGATTTTAAGGCTGATATCATTGTTGGCGCTGCTCTTAGAACATCATCATTGCAATTAACCATAAAAGCGAAGTGTTCCCCCCACGAATTCAATCCTCGCTCTTTTTGGTAGAATTTTCTCCCACTTTGTCTGTTAGTAGAGTCCTCAAGTCTCTTTTCCCATTAGGATGTTGTCTCTGAATTTGATAACCCAACAAAACGTACCTGCTGACTACTAAACTACAAAATTTGCTCCAGGACTCGATACCAGACAAGGTAACTATATACATATAAGTGAATTAAGTCCGAGTGATCTGTTGTGAACGAATCTAAAAATGGAATTAAGGGAAAGTGTTTCAATGTGTTAGATTCAAGAATCTTTGAATTAGTTGTAATTGGAACATTCATATTCTTAAAGATTTCATGATGATACCTCGAAAAATTCAGACTTCGGTCGCACTGAATAAAAGAGTGCAACAAAAATGAAGTGCAATAAAAATTTTGAACTCAAGTAGTGGAAATTATATGCTGAACGATTGGTGCCTGTGAATACCGCGGGCCATGAAGCGAAGGTTTCACCGTATGAAGAAAATCCGCTAGCTCTGAAAATATTCCATGCAGTTCCTACTGGTAGAAACGAAGGAATAGGAAGGCCACCATCCAGGCAAAAAAGGATCTGGCTTGGAGTTTCCAATTTGCGTTAAAAAGATTCGTTGTTAGATTTATTGTTGATTCGACTCAAATTGGTTAAGTGGAAAGAAAGCAGCAACTAGAAAGCTCTAAAGATGTTGCATTTCCAAGTGGGTAGCATCTGGTTAAACAGCTCTTGGAATGTGGGATATAGCGAAAATAACTATAATTTATCATCTAAAGATGACGAAGAAATTTTTGAGAGTTCATCGAACGGAACACCGCAAGTAAAGATTAAATACTCGGTGTGCTTATAGTTCATAAACTGGGTAATAATTACTAAAGGTCCTAATGGCTGTTTCCAGATATACGAAATTATCTAGAATAGTGTTTTGTGTTTGGGGAAAACTGAACTAAGTGTACTGCTGCTGAGACCGGCATTCTACACGTACTACGGATTAAACGGATGTTATTTAAACTGACTGGAACAATGCATTTGACGTATCTATTTCGCTGTGTAGCCGAGATGTTTGAGAAATAAAGCCCTTTTCACTTTGAAATCGTACAAGCGTTGAACTTGCTCTCAAGCTCTTCTGATCTAGATTTTTCCTTACCCGTCAATATAGAATAAATTAATGACTTTTTTGCATTTTTTTTGCGTTGACCTTTGCATGGTCTGGGATTGGAGTAATTTTATTGGATGGAAGTTCATTCAGCATTAAGTTATGCGAATTCAGTGCAGCACGAAATCCATCCTCGCAGTGCTGAAACAGTATAAAAGGAGTTCATCTGGCGTTGAGAAGGGCGTTAAAAGGGTCCTGTTAGGGTTCTGGTACTGTAACAGCCAATAACACGCAATTTTGTTTTTGTCCACTCCGTTCCGGTAATTTCGATGTCAGTGATGCACCATGCACTGGAAGTTCAATTGTCGGAAATGTTGGTAAAATCATGGACATGTCGATTCAGACCGCCATGTAAGCACTGTTTTCATTGCCCAAGAGCTAAAGATTGTACAAACACCGTTTGGTACCATTTGAATAAGGCTGGATACGAAAAGAAGCTCGATGCATTTGTGGCACACGAATTTACGCCAAAAGACCTCATGGACCGAATTTCCATTCGCGAATCGCAAGAAAATCGACTCAGTTCCAAAGATTGGCGATAAAAAGTGGATCACTGAAGACGATGGCCAAGCCAGGATTGACGGCCAGGAAGGTTTTGCTGTGTGTTTGGTTGGATTGGCAGAGAATTATCTACTATGAGCTGCTAACATACGGCAAGACTCTTAGCTCGGAACTGTGCTGATAACAATTGGACCGTCTGAAGGAAGCAATCACTGATAAGCGGCCAGCTTTGGCCAATAAGAGAGGAATTGTGTTCCATCAGGACAACGCCAGGCCAAACATATCTACAGTGACTCGCCCGAAGCTCCGGGAGTTTGTTTGAGAGGGTCCTATGCATCTACGGTCTCGGCACCAAGTGATTACCATCTGTTCCTGTCCTTGGCCAACAACTTTGCTGGTGACAAATTGGCTTCAAGAGGAGCTAGTGAAAATCGACTGTCTCAATTTTTTGCAAATAGGGACGAGGGCTTTTATGAGAGAGGCATAATGAAATTGCCTTTAAAATGGCAACAAGTTATCGAACAAGACGTCATATTTGACCCAAATCGGATCATCTCAACTGTGGTAATGAAAGCCTTCAATGTCATGCAAAAATAATGAACTTCTTTTTCTTCCTCTTTCTTTTTCAGAAATCAAAAAAATAATTTTAGTTATTTTTTATTTGGCTACCAAAATTCATTAGAACTAATTTAGTGGCAAAAGAACGTTCAGGTCAGCTAGTTGCCTCCCACTCATTAAACAAAAACACCAAAAATTAATAAAACTTTTTTTTTCTAATGGTGCACAATATGTATTTATTTATTTCTTTTTATTACGTTTTAACAGAATAATATTTAAACTAAAATGCATATTTAAAGATCAGATTAATTTGTATAATGAGTATAAATTATCTTAAAAAAACTTTGACTAATAACGGTTTCTAAGGAAAATTCTATGTACACATACACATACACACAGGCATAGTACCAACATACAATCAGGTGAACTTCTCGTAGGCAAAAATTTACTGCTTTGAGAGTTCACAAATTCAAATTCATACATACACGATACAAACATGCATATAAACATACTATCGTATGTCCATTGGTATGTACGTATGTACCGTTTTCACATTACTTTTACCCTTCTCACTGCCGATGCGGTTGCAGAGCGTTTAAAGTTTGGCTTTTAAACTAAAGAAATACTCAGGCCTTCAGGTAACACAGGATAAACACATTGACTATCATCTTCATCAAGTGACACTTGATACGTTAAACTTCTATACGCTTGCTTCACAGCCATAGCTTCCGGCATACAGTTTTCGTCGTTAAGTTTTTGTTGCTGCACTCGAATAACTTGCGGCAGCACTTCCGATATTGCGGAATCAAAGTCGAGTAGAATTTCATCCTCATCCAGCTGACGTGTCCAATGAGGTGTTGATTTGGTAGGACTCATTATTTGTGGTAACAGCGGCCTTGAAGAACTGGTTCCTCGATTGAAATTTTCATGAGAAAGGGTAGTTCCAAGTCGGCGTAACATTGATACCATTTTACCATCTACCAAAGGACGCTTTAAGCTTTGATTGTGACTAATAATCGTGTTAGCATTGTTAGTATTTCCAAATATTCTGATTTGTGATAAAATATTTGTTTGTTGGCAATTATTTTTCTGCTGTATTTCCTTCTTAAAGACATCTGCAACATTTGTGTCTTCTGGGAGTTTAAATGGCTGCTGAGATTTGTTGTACTCAGAACATTGTCTCCGCGTTCGAATCTTTTTCAATATCATTTTACGTTTTGTATAATAGCATTTGCTGTTACGTTTTTCACTTTGCGAATTCCGGTTGCATTTTCCCTCAACCAAAAATAATTGTTCTGCTGTGGACGCTTGAAATGATGAGTATTCTGTAGTTGACACTTTACTGTCCTTTATTGTTTCTGGGGTTTTCGATATTATTCTCCAAGGGAATACTTTGGCTATTGGTCGATATGCTCCTTTATTGGCTTTTTGATCAGAAAGCTGACTGTGAGATTGTTGACGGCGATTTTCCGCTTTCTCTTTGGGCAACATGCTATTCATTTGGGGACGAAAGGTACCAGAAGGACTTTCTGCGTCGTTACTGTTCAATGCCTGCAGTGAATGCCAGTTGATTAACCAATTGTTGCAGCTGAAACACAAGTATTTATCTTCGTTCAAGGGCTGAAAATTACAAAAAAAAACGATTTCTCTTTAGTACAAATTTTTGTTTAGTTTATTTAACTAATATTTTGCAAATTGTAAAATTAAATACAGTTTATATTGACTTTGCTGTCATAACTCCCCATTCATGTTCTACATTTGTATCTATATTATAACAATTGCAACTTGAAAATGTGCAACTTCACATAGTTTCTACCCCATCTAATATCGTATCCGAGTTGGTGGAATCCTAACCAGAGTAGCATTACTCCAAATGTCACATATACAGGCCCATTCTCACTGTTAACGGTAAAGTAAGTCTCACACTAACAACCCAAAATCAAACAGCAGATATTTTTGTTACCTCCTATTTCGCTGGTATCAAAAATTACAGGGTAACAGTGAGCTCAGAATACGAAATGGTAACAAAATTTACTCAATGGTAAGGCGTCTCCGAACGGCTGATGGTCTTTCATGAGGAACCGTATCTCATGTCAGAAATAGCCGAGGTGTGACCGCAATTAGATTTAACTTAATTTTTTTTTTTCAATTAGTTTTCTTTAACTTTTGGATGTTAATCGGACCAGAACTCGAATCCTGGCCTTCGGAATGAGAGTACGCAATGCTAAACTCCTCGGCTATAACGGCCGCCAATAATATCTAATAATAGTGTCATATAATATCAGAAAGTCCTAATATGTAAATATGTATGATTTTAAATATACCTATTTCACCAAGTGACACAAAAACAAATCTTCTCAATCTACGCAAACTTCTTAAATTTTCAAGTAAATACTCGACTAAGTTCTGGGTGTTTTTTTTTTAATATGTACACTGATTTTAAGCAATCTTTTTTTCATTGTGCTTTTTTCCGAATTCTGAATCTGAATTAAATTAAATAGTATTTAGTCACATATGTACATACACGTATCTATCAAAGGTTGCTAGTTTTAAAAATTTTTTTCTTTGAAGTTGATAATTTATTTTTTATAGCGATTTCCTACATACAAATCGGAAATCCCTAACATATAATATAAACGCTCACCCATATGTGTATGTATGTATCTAGATAAGTAAGTATGTGCGCTCGTAACACATTGCCACCAATGCTAACAAAAGGTGTGCAGAAAGAGAATGAATTAAGCGGCAGCTGCCGCAAATTACACCGGCTTACCGTTTGTTTTGAGGCTCAAAAATACAACGACGCAAGACTTTTTATACCTCACAATACACGTACATAACTACATGTGAGCCCTGAAAGGAATTCATATAAATAAACATATGAATATACATGCATATCTATGTACGGATACAATAGTTAATCGAAAATAGGAGTAAGCCTCCAAATAAATTTATAATAATAAAATAAGTAATTGGTTAAGCGGCGTTTAGATGTATGTATGTATGCATATATGCATATGTGTTTATACTCGTACGTACATCCATATGTTTTTGGATAAAGTGTCGCTACGAGATTACGTTTACGACTACGCATTGGCTGTCGATGTCATTCGTCAACACCAGGTGCATTGCATTGCACTCTCTCAAAATTAGTACCCAAAACCGATAAAAGAAAACAGCAAAATTGGCGGCAGAGGATCGCAGTTGATCTCTCAGCCTTTATTTGCAGGAACGTACTAACATAAGTAGAAATGTGCAGGCACATATACATACGTAAATATGTATGTACATGTGGGTAAGCACGAAAAACATCTGTCGTTGTTGTATCGGCAGCATCGTTACCATGTTCATGGTATCCATGGTAGCACATTGCCTTCACGCATTTTGCTGCGCTGCATCGTTTTCGAATTATGGCACGCCAGTAAGGCAAACGTTGGCAGAGAACGACATATGTTATTGGTTGTGTTGTGCATTACAGAAAGTAGAGCGACATTAAAATACGAACGCAACAACAACCACTATACAATAAACTGCTTCTGCCACTTGCAGCTGCCACCGCCACATGCAACATGATCATCACCTGTAATTACTGGGCGATGAATTAAAATTTTGTGTAAATATGTTTAGCAGCACTCTTTATCAACCGATATGTTTATGTAGGTAGGTACATATAATATTTCAATGCATTACAAGTATGCTTTTATGTTCATTTGTACTTATTGCACTTACATATGTATGTATGTAAGCTCATAAATGTACTTTTTTTTGTTGGAGGAGTTTGATTGTAGCTAGCAAAATATGGGCTGTGCCACTGTATGAACATACGTACATACATATATAAAATGCTTCTTATCATTATCTATTGAGCAGAAATATCTTTTGTTTATATACAAATGCATATGTATATACATATCTACATAAAGTGAATGAAATGAGGAGTTTTTCTGGTGCAAGACATGAAAGAAGTATGAAAATTGAAATAAATGCTTTAATATGCAAACAATGCCCAAGCGTTTAGCAAATAAATGTAGCTGAGCATATATCGACTAAATTTGGAAGAAGACCTAATTATTTTCAATCGTTAGGCGTTTCTATTCCAGTATATGGCCCCATCGTCCTTTTGAGTATCCTTCGCATACATACATATGTATATACATACATAACCCTAAGTCCTTCTAAGTCAGTGGTTACAAGTCATAACTGCCTAACTAAAGTTACAACTGTATTGAGCTAAAATATAGTCTCAACTTGGTTTTATTTGTTTAACACAAAAATGTCTATAAACTTTTGTATAGATTTAAAATTCAACTTGGGCGGTTATGCCTTAGGAGCACAGATAAATTATATGTATATTGGTACCACGGTGGAGTTGTCGTGACTCACGCTGCGCATAACCTTATTGATTTTTCGGCAATACTGTTTTAAAAGTCTATATGTTTATATACACTTCCAATACCTTGCTTAATAGTTTTTACACACCTGGAATTTAAATTTTGCTTGAATAAGTTCTACAATATTAGGTCCGCTCCTAGGCTCATAGATGTTAATGGTTTGATTTGTGTGGCAGCCGCAGATGAGGCAAGTTCGCTTCATATATTCCGATGATTTTTCTGACATTTCCTTCTCGTCAACTTTTTCCTTTTTACTATACACACTTTATAATTGTATCCTTTGCAATGTTGAGTAACTTTAAAATAATTTTTGATATCACTTTTTCAATGAGCAAAATACAATATAAATTTATATTTGTTTATTTTGTGAGCACTCGTAATATTTATTCGCATTTAGTCAAATAATATGCATAAAATTGTACACTCGCATATCAAGGCAACACCAATATTCTCATGTACCCAGTGACAGACGTTTCCGTGCCTCCTCTGCTTCACCGCGATAAGCAATACACACAACCGACACGTCCTTAACTAGAGACAAACAAAATGCGAATGAAGAGCTCATAACGAGAGGCTCGCAATAACACTTCGCTTGCGTATCGTGTTGCAGCTGCCGGGCTTCCTGGTTGTACAAAGTATTCATATACATTTATACCTTAAGTTCATTTGTTTGGTTGTTCCGTTGCGCAGCTCATTCGTGGCAGTGTCAACATTTAAGCATTCCTTTTCGTTTTCTCTCCTTCTATTTCTCTGAGATCAGGTAGTGTTTTAAAGTCCTGTCAGTATGGAATAAAATTAATATATGTATGTATACGTGTATGTGAGACTGTATAATATGTACTCATGCATATACATACGCATATGGACACTGTGCAAGTCTTGTTGCGAAAAAACTAAAATTCTATTTATATGTACGTTACTTAAAGAAAATACATTCTATTAAAAAATTGATTAGTAAAAATAAACATAAAATTTGCGAAATTCAAATAAAATACACGTATACGTTCATTTCCTTCATGGAACTCGATTAGGTTACAATCACTTATTTCTTTGCGGAAGCGTACGAAAGTATGCCACAAATTACCACAACCGGAAGCTGGGAATTTTGAACAGCACTGTGTTATCGACACAAATAGTATTCAGCAAATCAGCAATGAATGTTAGCAGAAAATGTTAAGAGTGAATATGAACCAGGGAATGTTAATAAGCAGAGAACCAGAGAACTTACAATAATAGAAAATCTCGGCAAAGGGATTCACCACTCTGTTAAAATTTGGCTGTAAACTAACAGAATTTGTGGTTTAGCATAAGAAAAAACTGTTATACACTACAAATTATGTAAAATTAAACGAAATAGAATAGAAATATAATGTAAAATGTAAGCCAATGGTTCTTTAATTTTTTAATTGTATTCATGCCGCATTTTGTTGTTATTTAATAAAAAAAAATTTTAAAAATTTATATTTCTTAATTTTGTAACCATCTATTTTATATATTTTTGGTTGCACGCGCTAAAAACAACGTCAGAGCATCACACAAAAATAAATTTTTTGAATGAAAGTTTTTCATTCTTAAATTCATTACATTAAGATTTTTTTATTAATTTGCAAAAACTAATAATTAAATTTAAAAAAATATAATTATTTGATTACATGTTTTTGTTTCCTTCGAAAGGAATTCGAACATGCGCAATTTTGCGCGCTACCAACTTCGCCATAACACCATTTAAAAATTCACTAGCATATTCTGTACTTACACCGAATCAAAGAAATAGACCAATAGTTTTTCTTCTTCTTATTCAGTTAAATGCACGAAAGAATTGTTCTCCCCGCGCGCACTTCGTACACAATCGACTTCGCTGATTTGCACAGTGCGTAGATTACTTCAAAGGATTACGCTCATTAGTTTATGTTATTGAAAGGTGTAGTATTTTCTAATTTTGCTACATTTTGAATTGAGTTGACAGTACTAAACTCCTGCAGTTCTGAATTGAAATTATATTTATTAAAATCTTATGGTTTGAGGGCATGTCATATGTCGGAATTAACCACTTCTCGGAGGAACTCAACACATCTCAGAGGAACAGAGAACTTATAATAACGAGAAGTTCTCTGGTTAGTTATATTTATTTAATTATAAATATAAATTTATTTTTATTGCACATTAACAAAGAGCGTTATTATTAATAAACTTGAAATATTTAAAATTTTTAATAATTCATTTAATATAGAATATTAAAAAAAGAGAAAGTAAAGTATTCATTGGGCTGTGGGATACGAACCTACCCCACACTTCTTCGCATCAGTGAACAAAAAATAACTATTTTATTTTATGCATTTTAAAATTATTGGCAAAATTTGAAGTTTTTTCTTTTTTGAATGTACAAAAACAAAATGCACACATTTCACACTACGCCCCTCAGTTTGCTTCTTTTGTCTAGAAGTTGAACTTTACACAAAAAACTTTAAACCTTTCATGGATTTAGATTTGAGAACATTATTTAACAGACATTTATATACATCGCTTTTATATTATTAATATGTATATGTATACGCCTTTATTTACTTAGTAATTAAATACACTCATTCATTCGTTAATGCTTGATTGTGAAAATTGTGAGATATACATACACACATATATATCTATGTATATCTGAGTTAACTGTTGCGATGATGCTATAGATTGATAATTTTCAGTAGTAATATTAAATTTTTTTTGTGATGCGAGAACTATACCAAGCTTCATACATATATCAAGATGAGGCTAGCAGAGCATGTAAGTAAAATGCTTCTGAACAATAAAAATATATTTTTCCTTTCATGTGCTGAAACTTTTTGCCAGTTTTCACATCGGCTTCAGGTACAAAATCAATTATTAAATTTTAGAAAATTTTCTTTCCGTAGCCAAGAAATCGTTTGTGGGCGTCTTATCGGGCCGAGGGTAGAAGGGATGATTATAATTGGAGTTTGTGATACTATGGATGAGGAGTTGCGTGGGGAATGTTGGGACATAGCTTTTGTGAAGGAAAATGTTTTTGTTGTTGGTACTACTGATCTCATTTACTGCCCCTGCCAGCCAATTCAAACAGTTTCCAAACATATTCATAAATATTTGAGTACCTCACCCACACAGCTAAAATTTTTATATTCAAATTGTCAACATCTCTCATTTTCTTTGACAACACTTATTTTGTTGACATTTCGCTGAAAATTTATTTTATTATAAAAAATTGTTATATCAAATTGGAGAGCTCTGAAAGAAGGATATAGGGGTAAGTATAATGGTGTGAATTAATATATGAAATACCTTTATTTCCATTCTTCAGTTAATGATTTATTGTTTTACAGTTTCCAATTTTGCAAATTGGATGCGATTTCAATAAAATTAGACAACTTTAAAGTTGCTACGAAGCTGCAGTATTTATATGTATGCACGTATGTATGTATGTGCAAAAAGAAAGGAAATTATAAAATGAAAATGTGGAAAAACACCATTTTTCTTTAATATTTTTTTAAATTTCTATATGAATGAATATGAAATGAAATTCTAATTCTTATATTTTGTTATCATTTTTGATTCTCCAGACGTAGATTAACATCAGCAGCTAGTTGTACAAGTTATATTTAAATATGTAGATTAACGTGCATGTAAATCATATATGTTCATTATATTTTTAATAATTAAAAGCAATATAAAGTGTTGATATACGAAAAGAAACAAACCTAAGATTCAGAAAATAAAAAAATAGAATACAAAAATTCAAAAATTTGTTTTGACATTCAATATTGTTTTTATTCGTATGAAACAAAATATCAACCTCCCATTGACTGGCAAGTAGAATCAGAAATGTCATAATTGAATAAGGTGCTATTTTCATTTACTACACATATACATATGTACAGGCCCAACGAGAGGGGATCGGGGACTTTTCCCCCCTTGCCCGTAGATTGCAAAGGGGCCCGGTGTTTTTATTGTCGTATATAGAATAATTTGCTTCTAGAATATATATGACGTAACTGACTACAGATTTTCATGGATTGCGATATTAATTCTATGCGTTTGAAAAAAATCAGTAATTTTGTTACTTCGCGTATGATGTATGTGACGCATGTTCTTATCTTACAGCCATTGCAGTAAGATTTAGTTTTGTATGAGAAAGATCAATTTTTCAGGCTATAATCTGTGAAAAGTCTTACATAGAGCTATAACTTGTGGGAAAAAATGAAGTTAATTGTCTGTTTAAAATAACTTCACTTTTGTAAGTTGAAAAATACTCTCACTTAGTAATGCAATTGCCAAAAATTTACCCGGACTAAAAAACGCTATAGAAGAAGTAAGAAAACTGAATCTTACTGCTGAGACTAGACGGGATGTTGATGGAATTTTAATATATATTAGCTAATTTGAACGTGTCCTAATGCCATCGATATGGTTTAAGATTCTTACAGCAATCAATGACGTCGGTTTGGTTCTGCAAAAGAAAAAAGCCACAATAGATGTTGAAGTCAAAAATCTCGAAATTCTCTTAGATAATCTGCAGATCTTACGCAACCAGTGGAATGTTATTTATCTTAAAAGAATGTCGAACAGTTTCCGAACATTTGACGACCACCACGACAACATTCCCAGTGAGTCGTAAAAAGAAACGAGTGGAAGTTGCGCCCGAAAATTCAGATGAAGATTATACTGATGAAGAAATTGATTTCAAACGTAACACTTTCTTCGTTATCATGGATTCGATCATCGCGGGAATAAGGAGCAGATTTGCCTCAATAAGAGCAATCAACAACATGTTTTCATTCTTGTGGTTGTTTCCAAAAATGGAAGTAGAAGAAGTTCAGACTGCTGCGCTACGTTTTGCTGAAAAATACCCTGCTGATGTGTCAATCGAAATATCGTGCAAAAGCATTCACTTAAAAAAAGTTTATCAGGCTAATTTTGCTGAGAGTAGTACAACTCATTTGTCTCCATTCGATTTGTTGAATGCTATCGCCACCAAAAATTTAGATACACTGTTTCCAAACATCTGCATTGCTCTGCGGATATTTTGCACGTTGCCAGTCTCAGTTGCTAGCGCCAAGAGATCATTTAGCGTACTTTCAAGAATAAAGAACTAGCATCGTTCTTGTTTAAGTCATTCTCGAGTCTCAGGACTGGCAACGTAATGTTTGGAATCTCAATTAGCTATAAAACTTGACTTCGGTATTATCATTGAGGAATTTTCATCAGCATATTTTTGAGGGTTGCTACCTATTAAAATACTATTGTGATGCAAACTAAGGTAATAAAATTGTTTAAACAAAAATTGTTCCAGATTACTCATTCATTTTCATTTTTATTCAAGTTCTATTCTACCTTAATCCCCAACTCGTTGATTTGCAGTGTAAGTACAAATAAACATATTTGTTAGATCATGAAATAAAGGTGTTGGGGCCAGCATTTGAATTATCCCCGGGCCCCGATTTTCTCTCGGCGGCCCTGCATATGTGTATATATATGTATGTTTGTATACATATATAATTTGTTGAAAACTTATTTATTATATACA